TCCATGCGTTGCAAAATCGTTGTCCCCTTCTTAGCAAGTGGGTCGGCAAATATTTGCTGTAAATAAGTTCTAGAGGGTTACTGTTCAGCATGTCTTCAATTTCCTTTCCAGCTATCTTTGTATCCTTGCAGCCCCATCTGATGGAATGGGTGTTGAAGTCTCCTAATAATGCAGCTTTGTGTGAGATGTTCAGAAAATCAAAGTTGGGAGTATTCTGGGGTGAAATATAGACTGCATATATCTTGAAGAGGCTTTGGCATTTCCAAACATTTAATCTGATTATTTCGCATATGTCTTGCGCCGAGCCCATACTCTTGATTAGATCATAACGTGATGTGAGGCCTTCTTTTACTCCAGTCACAATTCCACTTGCAACTTGCCGGTATTTAGCTAGATTGTACAGGGTGTAACCTGAGAATTGGTAGTACTTCAGTTTGTTATCCGAAAGGTTTAATTCCATAATTGTGAAAATGTCTACATCATAGGTTTGTAGCCTTTTCTGTACCTCTGTAACTGCTGTACTTGGACCTTTTTGTCCTGTGACATCCCTCCAGCATTCCACTGGAGGATCTAGATGACATTCCTTCAGCATTCCACTGGAGGATCTGAAGACGTTGGAATCGCCCTGACGAGGGCGATTTTTCTTATAGCCTTTTTTCCCTCCAGCATTCTACTGGAGGATCTGAAGACGTTGTGATTGGCCTTAACGAGAGCAATTTCTCTTATAGCCTTTTTTAAAGCTCTGCGAGGGCGATTTTTCTTATAGCCTTTTTCAAAGCTAATAAGGGCGATTTCTCTTATAGCCTTTTTTCAATCTAATCATAATGAATTTCTCTTATAGCTTTGTTTCAAACTAATCATAATAAATAGAAGTCAAAATGCCGAGTGGTAGACTTTTTTGCCGTATGAAGATACGTTGTCCAGGGTGCACCACGTAGAGGTAAGTCTATCGCGCACCCCACCATTTGAACATTAGAAAATGAGCAGTGATGAAGCTCAATAACTGTATTCAAATAATAAATTTAGAAGTCTTTGTTGATAATGACCTTACTGTGACAGTAGCATTGCGTATCTTTTATGGTGTCCGAAATTACTCTGTTAAGCCTTAGAAGCGTTCAGCACTCCACACCCTTTCCATAAGTTCAAGTGAAATACTTAACTTTGTTCATTAATCCCACAATTAAAATCAATTCTTACTATTCTGTGAAATAATTAAACACATTTAGAAATCGTTATGCTATTCAAGCTTTCATATGCATGAATTTTAAGTCAAGGGTTTCTGATTGTTGATTAAGATGCTCGAAAAACAAAAGTAATAGTCAATGGTTGAGAGGATTCAGTAAATAGAATTAGAAGCCTACTCAAAGTTCTTTATATTTAAGAAAGTCTTTTAGGGAACGATTAATTATTTTCGATCATCTATTGGTATTTTTTGCTACAATTAGATTGTCAATTCTACAGGACTTGAAAAAATCTACTGTTCCTTCAAAGTTGATTTGTCTTGGTGCTATTTCGTTTTTGCCATGAGAGTCATTTGGCATAAGTTGTTTGCTACACTATTTAAAATCAGACTAAAAACATTAAGTAGCTTTAATAACCAGCCCATCAGTTAATTTTACAGGTCAGATCCTGCTTTTTTGTCGGGATACATGCTCTCCTTTTTTATTCAATTAACTCACCTCATTAAAAATGAATGAGGGTAAGGTTTCATGATAAAAAACAGCAATTATTAATTTAAATTGTCATATTAATTTAAAAAGAATTAATATATTAGAAGGAAATGTATTGAAAATACAATAAAGCCAGAAAAATATGGGCAAATTTTTTTTCGATCACTAGAACACTTTCATCAATTATCACCGTGGAAGGTGAGTTATATTTTTGTTCGACTGCCAGAATATTACAAAAGCAATTAGCTATCTTCCAGAAATTTTGTAAGTCGAAGCTATAATTTATTATTCACATATATAGATGATGATTTTTTGCTAATATGCCCTCTTTTATTTTATTACAAACTATAAATTTTTTTGAAATTTTCATTTCATTTAATTTTTGCAGCATTGTTTGGATTGACCTTCAATTATGTTGCCAATCTAAAAAGCAGGTTGCTTGCGTGCTCCGGGGGTACGGGGTTGTGTTTGCCTGTTGAAGTCTGCCCCTTTTTGTTTCATTATAGATTTCTTTACCGAGATCTCTTTTCGCTTTTGATCATATTGTTTATTTAAAATGAAGGATGTTCAGTGGAATTTAAGCGTGACTATGAACCCCCTACAGCTTTCTGACCCAAGAACTGCCTTGGAGTCCTATTTGAAACCATTCATGAACAAATATATTCCTGAATTGAAGGGTATTCTTTTAAAAGTTGATTATCAGACTCTGAAATTGAAGTCTTCATATTCACAGGATAAACCCGGCACAGGTTTTACGAGTTGCATCATCAAATATCATCCAATATATCTCTCAGCAAAGGTAAGAATTTGATACCTGCTAGTGTATGCCTTCTTCTTAATTATTATTTCTTTATTAACGGTTTAAAATGTTATTATAATTATCTATGGTTTGCAATGAAGTAATTTCTTTAATTTCTAACGTACCAACTTTTAACTATTTTTACAATCTTTGGTTTACAACTGTTATTGATATTTGACGCAATATTTAAATGTGCGTTATATTTAATTTCACAATCTATATGCATTCTTTAGCTTCTCTTACCGGTTGCTCCTTTCTTCTAAAAGCATTTTCCCCTTCATTATCGATTTTAAATATAAATATGGTACAAACTACAAATATTAGGGGATTTTGATGTAATGTTAATGTTTGATTTATAAGGGGAATTTCCGACATAATCTTTTTTGTCTTGTTATGTAATTAGTGTTTGTCGGTTCACATCTAGTGGTTTAGTTACCTATGCGCTCTGGCTACCAAATGGTATCAGAATGCGATTTTCGATATGTATATAACAGTTTCTCAAATTTTACATTTGGTAGTTATGGGTTTTTTGAGCGTATTATGACACCTTAAGGATATTAAGTACGGGAAATTAAAGAAACAAGTTAATTTGATTTCATATTTTAGTCAGACGGTATTTTAATGACAGATTTAAAAATATTAAGGGTTAATTGAATTTCCAACTGATTTATTTTACGTAAATATCCGATTTATCAGTGTATTTAATCCTGCATTGTATTTCATCACCTTGGAGATACTTTTCTAAATACCAGAGTCAGGTTTTCGTGGATCTAGGAGCAACGGGTTGCTTTCCTTCGTTTAGAGTAAAGTTTTATCATTTTAGGTCAATTTTGTTATAAATGCAACCATCTTATGCCCAACCGTGGGCCAGCAAGTGGATGCAGATGTCAGAGTTGTCAAATTCGGTCGTCTCGTGTGTCGTTTTGGTGACGACTATTCCATTTTCGTCACAGTCCCAACTCACGGCGAAGAAGCAGCCGCTTCCATACCAGTTGACCCACAAACAAACGAGCCTCTCAAACTATTCGTTGGTGATAAAGTACGGCTAGAGATCACTCATGTTAATATTTCCGTAGCCCGTGATGTTCTTCGACTTTCTGGCCGAGTTCTTTCTGTCATCTCGCGTAGTGAGTTTTCTCAAATGAAAATGCAGTCTCGTAATAGGAGTGTTACAGAACAGACTTCTATAGAGTCCGCAGCGCAGGAGAAATCGGAAGAGGGTCAAGAAATTGTCTCTAAAAAGCGCAAAAAGCATAAGAAACATGTAGAGGCGGAGGAGGAGGAAAGGCAGCCTCAGGAAATTGCAGAAGAGGTCGAGTTGGAGGAGCCTCCAAGGAAGAAAAGGAAACGGAACTCTGAAGCGCCTGATCCCCCTAAAACATCAGAAATGGAGGCAGAATCTATGCCTCTTAAAAAGAAGGAAAAAAAATCCCGTAAGGAGAAGAAGAAGAAATATTTAGTTGATAATCTCCTTCCCGTAAAGCACGAACCCAATGGGGCTGCTAATGAATCGGAGGAGCAGGTGGAAGAATTCTTCCAAGTTTCAGAAGTAGTCAACACTCCTATGCAAGATGATTCTGTCTTGAAGACAGGAATGCAGAGCCCGGATATTTTTTCGTCTGGTGATGAATAGCCACCAAGGCAAAAGGTCCTTAATGAAGATGTGTATTAACTGAGCTGTATGTATGTATATACAAAGCAATAATTTGACATTTACTTTAAACGACTTTTTCTCGTTTCCTTGTTGAGTGCTTATTTCTAATTTTAATATTTGTGAGAATTGGAATGTCGGCCGTTGACTGTTCTGAAGCCATTAGCTGTCAGAACATAGTTTTTTTTTATTTTGGTAAGTTATTTTTATCTTACAAGTGAGACCAAAGCAAAAGAAACTCGTCGTTTGTTTTAGTTTTTCCTGGGACAATTTCAATTATTTTTATAGATCGGATATAGCTTTTTAACTGAAAATTTCATTTTGTATAGTTTGTAGCGGATTGCTGCCTGACTGACTCAGAAATCTCTGTAGCAGATTCTCCTACACCTAGCTAGACTCCCAAAACTAGCTAAGCTACGGCCCAGCTATAAGGGTCACAGACGTGTACACGGAGCACGTTTATTCAGTACGTATATTGTGCATACAGTGTACACGCAGGGAGCTACTCATGATCAGGATGGCTGATTAGGTTAAACAAACGGAGGCTACTCATTGGGCACCGTTTGTACGGTCGCACCTCCCAAGGAGGCTACTCATTGGGCACCGTTTGTACGGTCGCTGTACACAGAGTTGTACGGCCGCACCTCCCAATCCTGGCGTGCAGGCATGCGATGGCGTGCCCCACGAAACTCCCCTCCCCCCCCCCCCCCGGGGNAAACCCCCCCCCCCCCCCCCCCCAGAGCGTTTGTAGGGAGCTAAAAGGTAAAGAAAACGCTCGATAATTAGTAAATGTACGAGATCAATTTGTTGAGAGGGAAAGGTATATCTTCGGACTTAGAGTAACAGGGTTTTGGGTAGAGATGGGATAGGTGTTGGAACTGTTGGGACTGGATTGTTGGAGTGGGAGGCAGTAGGATTGTGGACTTCGTGCATGTGTGTGGACCTTGCCGGCTGAGCGAGTGAGGCAGTATTTGGTCCACTGACGGGCACCCTGTTGGATGTTCCTCCATATGCAATGATCGGTGTTCAACGTTCTTGTTGAACGGATGTTTGGTCGCCACAATCCATGGTCGAAATCTTCCGGCGTGTGCTTGCCTGACGATTGGTCTGGGCTTGCCGGTTGAAACACGGTTGGGAGTTGGATTTTTGGGGGCCTGTAAGGGTAGGCTTTCGAAGAGTAACGTGCTCCGGCTGTTGCCTGTTTCCAAGGGTGTTCTGAGGGAGTCATAGCCAGTGAAAGGAGAGAGTTGGGGTGCCGTTGAGGTGCTGATCGTTCGTGGGAAGGAACCATCAGATTAGGAGAGCGATGTGAATAACAATGCATCGCCGATGAGAGAACGAGTCTCTGTTGAGCGGAAGTCAGGATCTGACTTGTTCTGGGTAACGGCAGCGGACGTAAGGTGATGATCATTCGAGGAGAAAGGGATCACCGAGGGAATTGAGGAGTGTGGAGAGGAAATCCCAATGCCAGTGAGAGATTGGTTCTCTGCTGAGTGTTTGAAGTCAGGCTTTGGCAATCACATCCATTTAGAAATCCTAAAGCATCCAGTAAGCTAGAACCTGATTGTCAATGGTGCATTTCACTGTCCTTACTCGAATTTCGGTGATGTGATGTTCTATGGGTCGAGAAACAGAAAGTAACTCTTAGGTGCTTCACGCTTACCAGTTCAATCACTACACACATCTCTTTGATATCTTGATTTATTAACTTTGACTTCTTCGGCTTATTTCTAGGTAGATATTAAATGTCATGCCTCTGTAAAGAAAATTTTTTTTAAATGGCAGGCTTTTTGATATTTATCATAAGCCCTTAAATTTTGACTACAGCGGTCGTGAGTGCAGAGACCTCTCGGCCAACCACCAATCAATAGTCATTGCATTGTTAAACAAAACCTTAACTGTGTAAGCTGAACGGAAGAGATGCATCTAGATTAAACCAGTCTTGTGTCTATATCTTATTGTTCTGTTTTTCTTCATTTCTTTTAATTGTTGAGCTGATTTTAAGACCCAGTCCGTACCGTAGCAATTACTTAATCAATTCTAGACTGTAGTCGAATTTGTTATTCCAATATTTCTTGAGAAATTTAGGGTATTGTAATTAAAAGATGTTTTACTCCTGTGAAGACGAATTTTAATTTTTTAAATAAAATATAAAGCACTATATTTATTACTTTTAGTGAACAATAAATTATACTTGTAAAACGCGGTACATACAATACTGTTGCGAAAATTCGTTGCTTCTTTATGTCTGGTTCATCGTCGATATATAAGGCCTCCTCTGCCGTAATTATAATTTGCATCTATTTTTCTGTAGTTGAAAAGTATTCTTTTTCAATGGAAGTGTGAAGTATCTGATCCATTCCCTCTATCGGAGGCAAAGATTTGGTTAAGACGTTATTTTATTGCACATTACGGAGATACTCATAAAGTCGGGGATTTTCTTTCATTTCTCCTACAGCATAAATATGTCAAAGTAGTGTGCTACGAAAAGTCAGATTGTCCGCTTTACTTGTAGGGATTTTCGCGTCTATATCCTCATTTTGTAGTCTAGATGATGCTTCCTTGACAAAATCGGAAAATGCCTGTGATGTAAATTTGAAATCAAATGTCGCCATAACCGATCAACTGCAAATAGGAATTTTCTATCGTTCTCTTGCGATTAGCCTTATTGACAGAATTATTTCGAGTTTGCCACATCGGATAAGAGGTGAACTGCATCCCTTTTTACACTATAATTCCCATGTCGTCCGACAAATTGCAAAGTTTCCGTCACTTGATTCCTGTAAATACTGTTTTGAATGGCTAGCAACTTGCGGAAAGAATGTATACAATAATAGCTTTGGATTCGGTCACAACGTTGATGTCGATTTAATAGCGCAATTAGATTATTTGGCAAAGTGTATGATCTCAATTTTCGTATCTCATATCCCTTTTTAGGTTCCAAAAGTCGAGCGTTGCCGAAAGATAATAGGCTTGTCCTTCTCTCTTCTCTTATTGAGTCATCTCTCCAAATTTTAAAAGGTTTCGGAGATATTTCTCCTCCACATCAAATGACCTTGCGACTTGTTGACTTTCTTCTTCGTAGGTTTTTTGGATATATTTGCTTAATATTTGTATACAGGCTATCATGAAAAAGTTAAATCAAAGGGGGATGCTTTTTCTTCTGAGGTTCTAACAGTTAATCGAGTCAGACATTCGTAAGGTTTTTAAAACTTGAGTATTTACCTTATTTAGGTCGTCTCCAATGAATTCTCCTTTAAAATCTCATGGACAAACGGTCTCTCGATCCAGTTCTGTTTCTCCTAAGCCATTTCAGTAAGTTTACTTATGTTCTTTTTTGAGTTATTTATTGCTAAATCTCGGTAGCCATTGTCGAATCTGCTATTATGAAAAAGTAATGTTAAAATAAGGAATATTCAATGTCCAACATATCTTACAATAATGTAATTGAGCTTGTATTTCCGGGGAATTAAACGGTTTGATGTTATCGATTTTATTATCTATCTGTTAAGATTGATGACTGCTATTTTTATGTCAATTTTGAAAGAATGCCTTATTTGCGTTTCTTCATTTACTAGATTCTTCATTAGGTTTAAAAAACACCAAGCCTTCTGGTTATATCAACTAAAGTACACTGTTGTAGTTGGCCATAATAAAATGCGTCCTTCAATGATAAGATATGGGATTCCAATTCCACATTCTTCAAATAGTTTCTGCGCTAACCTATTTCTATAATCCATGTTTTCTCAAATTGGTTGGCTTCAAATGACTTTTAAACAAAATTTTGTTATATGCCCTTTGGAGGCCCAGTAGATTTCTTTCTTCGTCTTCCTATTATGAAATATTTGTTAATATTCCATCTTGGTAATGATATCTCCTTACCGTGAATTTATCTTTCTCAATAGATTATAAGCTCTGTAAGCAATTGTGTTGTTTGAGTTACAGAATTACTGTTTTCAAACTTTATCTAAGTCCAAAATATTCTAGAAGTAGCCCATATTTTTACACTTCCAATTTACTTTTATATATATATATATATATATATATATATATTTAACGTTAAAAGTGGTTCTTTAGGAAAGTCTAGCCTTTCTTTACCCTTCCAAATTTGGTTTCGTTGGGCTTGAAACAAGTTAATACTGATTTTCATTTATCATTTTAGACGATCAAAAACCCTTATTGATCTCAATTTTAATTCAGCTAATCGCCGAGGTGTGAGTCTGTTGCCTGGACGTCTAGTGAAATCTCGTTCAGCAGTTTTCAACTCCATAGAAATGATCGAGCAAACTTTGCGTTTGGCCAGTATTCTTTTACCTCCAAAAATCTGCTACACTATAGCATACTTTTCCTCAGCTCTCATTAACATCTATTTTTGTGTTGGAGGGGATGTTTCTACCCAGGATTTCTACCCTTTATGCAATCCTGAATATGTAAGCCTTTGCACTGTTGTAACAATTGTTTTACTAAATTCTTATAATTTTATATAAATTGGTCAGGCTTAGTAGGAATAGATTCTTTTGCATCTATTTTGTCGTTTCGAAATTCAGAATTGTTCTATCAATTCTTAAGTCCCTCAATGAAAAGCTTTCTCTGGTCTTAGGTTAAAAATTAGGTGGCTTTGAATTACTTTTATTCTCAATTGCTATATTACTTCACCACTTATGTCGTTTTATTTTATATTTTTCTCTCAACTTTTCAAAGAAAGGTCTTAAAATTGAATTAATGTATAATTGATTGTTAATATCAATTCACAGTCTGACATTTATTTTATCTCAATTTAGTAGGATGTGTTTGTAATCTAATTTCCGGGAATTCTTAGATGTTATAACGCTTGGGGTACTACGTGCAAATATTCCAGAATGCTGCAGAAAGAGCACATCTCGTTTGAATCACTTCTCGGTATACGATGCCAGTTTGTAGTGTTTTGTTAATTCTACCGTTCATGGAATGTACACCATTGACAACTGAACCCCGACCTCTGATTTGATATGTTGAACGTTCAGCTGCAAATGTTCATTTTTTGTTCCTATTGCTCCTCATTACACCTGCCATGCATGGGGTATTCTGCACTGCTTGAAACACTTTTACAGATGGACTTATGATTCATTGTTTTAGTTCAAAGTATTAGTGTGCTAATAAATGCTTGCACCTTGTTTTCAGGGCCCAACTCTTTGTCCTCATCTGCACTAATTACACGCTAACTCCTATTTCATACAGGCTGTTATTGTTTGCTTCACCAGAAGTTCATTGTTAATACGATGTAATATATTATTTCCCTTTAAATCTTCCTTGTAGCTCTCTAGTTCAGTGACATCAGTTCTGTTCACCAAGACCTCGGAGAGAACAGAAATGAATACCGGTTCTAATATCATGGAATCGTTACTTCTCATTCTCTTTTCTTCGCGTGCTCAAGATGTGTATCCACCCAAACTGCTTCAAGACCTTATTGACCTCTCCAATCCTCCATCCTCACTCAAGGTTGGCGTCTGTTTCACTTTTTATATGTTTATTAATGCGAATATTTATATTTTTCCCCAAAAGGCTATCTCTTGGTTAAAAGATTGCATTTAGGGAATACCATCCTAGTATTTCATGCCTCAAATACTTCTTTTTGTGTCATCTCGAGATGAATGAGTTGTTATTAGAATTTGTATTTTTCTATTCCATGTATGATTCTTGTTCTATGGTTAAGGTTATTCTCTATAGATTTAATAGCATTCCACTTAACTTTTTCTGGACTCATGTCTAGTTATTAGTAGAATTAGCTGTGGCAGCTCGAGGAACTTAAGTTATGGAGACAAACATCAGTGCAACTGGGATGAATACGATTGTGAGAAAAGATCCCTATCATAGTACGCTGAGTGGAGTTGGCGGTTTTGCTTTCTTTATTAATCTTATGGGCGATCAGTGAAAGAAAATATTTTAAAGTCACAATGTGGTTCCATTGTCGCTTTTGGAACAACCATGAAAACTGACTCCTTCGCAGATCCAGAAATCGGTTGGGTATTTTAGTCTTGATAGACTGTCCAATTTTTTTGAGCCGTGCCTATGTTCGTACATACTCTGTGCCTATCGGATTTATATTCGCTGGAAGGAATTGGACGAGGAAAAGAGTGCTTGCATTCTAGTTACTAACTGGAGAAAAGCGGATTTTGGCCAACTTGGATCCGAGTTTTGGTTTGCCTCTTTTATAACAAGGGGTTTATTTTTCAAATGACTTCAAGGTGAAATAACTAAGTTAGTTCTCTTTCCGCACTGCACGAACTCAGCTACTACTGGACAAACCGCTCTAAAGTCTTGAGAATGGCCCATATACGCAACTATGCGAAGAAGAAGGTTAATATGGCTAAGCTAATCGTAGTAAAAGTTAATTCGAGTAATTTACTTCACCTCAGTTCTTGAAATTTTTGAGTTACATTGAAGCCTCTCTTAGCTTTCTTTCTTTTTTTTATATGGTTTTAGTGATAAAAATAGCACAATCATTATTTCCATTAACCATTTTAACTTTCATGTACAATTTCATTCAAATTCTAAATCGTTTGGTTGCTGGCTTTACTGGCGATGCTCGCTGACAGAACCGATCTAATTTTTTTGGTGATGTTACTGGAATAATAATAGAAATTATTACTATTCTTGTAGTGTTGTCTAACCACTTTTGCTTTACAGAAAATAAAGGAAAATATAGAAGTTGATAAACAAGTGAATGAGGTTAAGTCTCCTATTCCCTTGAAGTCCGCAATGTCCCATTTGAACATTCAAAGTCCGTCATTGTCATCATCATCGTCTAAACCCTTGAAAGCGATACATTCTGAAAGTACTCCTAAAATGAGTACTGGTGACAACAACAAAAATGTGACGTCTTCTATTGACTTGATCTCTGAACTGGCGACAAAGAAAGGATTGATGAATCTACTCAACAGCATTTTGGTGGATCAGTCAATTGATTTGAAAACGAAATATGGCTATCTTACTCAGGTATAATCTCTTTTTTGTATTTGAAAGACGAAAAGAATAGGCTAATAGATAATTACGTTTATTGATGGAAGGGGGAGTGAAATATGATCTTGATTCTGACTTTATTGTCCCTCAGAATATTATATTACAAATTACCTGCATTTACATTTACTTGCTCAGATATTTTTAAAACCAGTTTTAATGACCTACGTGGATCTCTTAGCTTAAACTGTTGGTGCTGATATCAAGCTCTTCTTTATAGTCTCGATTTTTTTCGTTGGTGTGGACGATCCTCTCAAATCTCTATATATAAATTGCTGTTGCTACTGGAAGCTGAGAGCGTAGTAATGAAGTTGTGGATGGAGGTTGCTGGGGTAGCCATTCATGAGGAGACCGGCTCCTTTCGGATTGAAAACAGAAGTCAATTATTCATCTAATGGTCTTTGCAATCGAGAGCAATTTGGGTCAGCAAACTTACTATCCAGTGGATCTTATTATGGCAATAATTTTAAATTGTGTCTAACTCAAAATACTCACGAGAAGCAAAATCGATAAATAGTTAAAGTGCCAAAGTATGAACTCAATCGAAAGTGATGGGAATGAGGATTTTCGGATCTAATTATATATTGCTAGTAATCTATTATATCCTATTTTAAATAGTTTATGTATTTCCCTTTCTTGCACTTGTGATTACTCTTTGATGATAAACTAGAAACTTGCAAACCTTTACTATCCTGACGTAACTGGTCATTCCTCTCGTTGGATGAGTATTGTGGGGTATCGAACTCGTTCCCTCTAAATTATCAGAAGCACTAGAGGATCGTATGAAGATGTCAACATCTTTTGCTTCTTTAACTAAATTTTATTGCGAATTCCGTATTGTGTCTGGTCTACCAAGTAAGTGGTTTCTCACCACGAATTCGATACTTGCTGACACTCATCTTGTGAATATTTTCCAAATTTCCAAACTTTGTGTGCATTTAGGCATTTTTCCGATAATTTGCCTCATAGACAGTTCTAAGGTTATTTAGAAAACAATAGTTGTAAACCTTTATTAGGGAAATTGGCTGCATCTGATTTCCCTTCATTACTCGTGTGAACAGACATGAAAGTTTTTATTTTTTGTTTTAGTTCAGACAAAATCATTCGGAGATATTCTTGAAACGATTTACAAATCAGGAAACAGCAGATGCCTATATGGATCGTATGCTTCGGAAAGTGAACGAAAACTCGAAGAACCAATCTTCAATGAATTCAACTAGTAGGCTCTCTAAAGCTATTAATAAGCTGCCTTGGTCAAAAACAACCCCTAAGTCAACTAAATGAAATCAGTGTTTTGTATTTTTGATAGTTAATGTTCATTGATTATGCACTTATCTTTTTGAAATTTGTACCATTTTCTATGCTTGTGTCTTCAATATAGTGAGATATGATTGTAAAAACTGTTCATTTTTTCATTTACTCTACAATGGCATGGACTTCAAGTTCCCAGTTGTAGTGCTGCCAGTTAAATAGCCCCTCGGGCAAATACTGTTACAATCTTTTCTAGGAAGACTTTAGGGTAATAATGTTGGCACACAGGTTTGACCCTTTCTACCGCTTGGATGAATAAGTGCTATTGAGTTTGCAGTAAAGTCAGGGCTGTCGAAAATACCAGAGATACCTTCTCGAAGATTTGACAAAAGTAGTCAAGGGCTCAGAATTGTCAGTTTACCTGCCCCAATGGGACCAAAATTTAATGCAAAGGCCGATTAGGGTTCATTTAGTGTGGGGGTGGGGGGGGGGGGGGGGGTCAAAGTCTAGTTTCCTTTTTCCCTTTTTATTTTAACAGTAGAATGAAATTTTGGGATACGTTGTAAATAATACAATAAAAGGATTATTTTCAGAGCAAATGTACCGAGTGTTGGAAAATCGAATTCCATTGATGAAGTTTGAGGTGGGTGGATATTTACGGGTGATTAGAAAGTCAAAAACTCTAAAAATATATGCATCGATAACATATTGTTGGTATCATGCTTGTTGATAAATTATCTTCTGACCTGCTATTTTGAAAATATAGGTTAGGAGGAATGGGTGTAAAATAATCGCAAAACAATCTATTTATATCGAATCTGCTCATCTCCAAAATACAAAGGAATGCTGAAATCATGTTATTAAAAAAACACCGACACCGTATCCTAGTGTTTTTTACATCTACCTTCTTAACGAAACTGATAAGGAAAAGTTAAGTTAAATCTATCAATTTTAGGTAATCACATTGTCGAGACTTCACTAAAAAACGAATGAATTCCGTTAATTCTTTATAAGATTTTCACTTTCACTAACTCACTATTTTGGTACGGTTGACTTAAGAAGTATTAGATTATAAGAAGGTAGAAGTTTGAGAAGCAGTAGTAATACCCTTCCAATAGCCATACTTGAAAATCAGCATGATTTTTCAATTTCATATATCTCTTGATGCTTCTGTTGCCCCTTGAATTTACACCATTTATCTAAAATTGTAGGATGTTTATTAAAGCGGAATCATCGATTAGGTTATAGTAAGTCATGCTTAACGATTATGTATGTTAAAAATATTATCTCATTTTCCATCATTCGAACTCTCACGAGATATTTAATTGGTCTAAATTGTGTGCATTAGCTTTCTCGTTTCTTGTCGCACGTGTCATGAGCCCTCCATACAAAGTTGGTATGGTTTGAATGTTTTACTGACTATAAAGCTTATTTTTAACGGCACTAATTTTATTCATAATTTGTAGCGGATATCAGTCTTGCTGATTGGGGCCGTCGAGAGATTGAGATTGCCGAAAATGAGATGCCAGGACTTATGAAACTGCGTACCAAGTATGGCCCTACTCAGCCCCTCAAAGGAGCTAGAATTGCCGGTTGCTTGCACATGACTCTTCAAACTGCCGTTTTGATTGAAACCTTGATCCATCTTGGTGCCAAGGTCCGTTGGTCATCATGCAATATCTTCAGTACACAGGATCATGCTGCGGCAGCTATTGCCAAAACTGGTGTTCCCGTTTTCGCCTGGAAGGGTGAAACTGAAGAGGAATACGTCTGGTGTATGGAACAAACTCTTCAGTTTGAGGATGGTCCCCTGAACATGATTTTGGATGATGGAGGTGATCTGACAAACCTCGTTCACGACAAATATCCTCATCTCCTTGCCAATATTAAAGGTGTTACTGAAGAAACAACAACAGGAGTTCACGCTCTCTACAGACGTCTTAAGGATGGTAAACTTATGTGTGCAGCTATGAACGTCAATGACTCCGTCACTAAGAGCAAATTCGACAATCTTTATGGTTGTAGGGAGTCATTAGTTGACGGTATCAAGCGAGCAACTAATGTTATGCTTGCTGGGAAAACTGCTTTTGTTGCCGGATATGGAGATGTAGGAAAGGGATGTTGTCAGTCACTTCGCTCCTATGGTTGCCGAGTCCTTGTCAGCGAGATTGACCCTATCAATGCTCTGCAAGCTGCTATGGAGGGTTATGAAGTGACCACAATCGAGGAGGCTGTTAAGGAGGCACATATTTTTGTCACAGCAACTGGTTGTCGTGATATTATTGTGGGCAAACATTTTGAGCAAATGCGCGAAGATGCCATTGTTTGCAACATTGGCCATTTTGATATCGAAATTGACGTTGCCTGGTTGAACCATCACTGTGCTGAAAAGGTGGAAATCAAACCACAAGTTGATCGATATCTTATGAAGAATGGTCGCCATATTATATGTCTTGCTGAGGGTCGTTTGGTCAATTTGGGTTGTGCTCACGGTCACCCAAGCTTTGTCATGTCAAACTCCTTTGTAAATCAGGTTCTTGCTCAGATTGAGCTTTATTCTAAACCTGGACAGTATTCAATTGGTGTATACATGTTGCCCAAGAAGGTTTGATTGTGATTTAATTAATTGATTCGCTTTTCTCTAGTTGGACGAGGAAGTTGCAGAGGCTCATTTGGAGCAACTCGGTGCCAAACTGACAAAACTGACTAAAGAACAGGCCGAATATTTGGGACTTCCTCGCAATGGACCTTTTAAGGCTGATTATTATCGCTACTAATCATATTGTGTCACAGTTCCTCTATTGCCCTGTAGTTTTTATAATGCTCTTAAGACATCATTCACCCCCTCGATAATAATGCTGCATTTTGATAATAAAAATCTGCCTACATTCACTTCATTTCATCGGTCTTTTAATTTTGCTAGGCTCGGACTGCTGTAATGGTTGTAAGTAATGAGTGATGCTATTTAGTTTTTTTAAATTCTTATTTGTGGTCTTTTGTCTTGATCTGAAGAGTGCTTGAAAATAATGCGTCTCTTTTGTTCGATTCTGAACTATGTGGTGGTCAGTCTTTTGGTATTGTTTATGTGTTAAGTCCTAGTTTTCTCGCTAAAGCTACCCCCTAAGAAAACTTTAGTTCGTAGAGCAGCCCGCAAGATTGAACTTTCCTCATTGAACAACTAATCCAATAATATTGCCTGCTGTAGACAAGATGTGCACATAAAGGGAAGAATTGCCTTATGCACCAAGTTTGGTTCCCCTTTTTGATCGGATTAAAGTTCGCTCTTTATGGATTTCATTAACAAGTAATGTGCCATTAAGTGAAAAGGCTCAACTTTTATAAAATTGCTTCCCAACACAATCTTGTTAGAGAGAGGGGGACGGTGGTCAGTGGCATTGAGTCATCTTAGAGAGAAACCCACACTCTACCACACCTCTTTTAAATTTAATTTATGCACTGCGTTTAACCACCAGCACCACTCAGTGCGCAATGATGCAAGCCGAACGCGTGGCCTCTGAATTCGCAGTTGTGTGTCTCAAAGTCACGGCTCTGATGCAGTTTGATAAACAAATAATGTAGATTTGGAGGGAAATAGTTTACGCCAACACTCCATAGAATTAATAATTTACTTATTCTCTGTTTATCGTATGCGAAATTTGTTGGAATTTTCTCACTTTGGAATTGTGCTCAATTAGTGGTTTTGCAGTTACATGAGTTGAAGTCAGGCATAATACTCTATAGCGAGGCCTTATGGACTTGGTTTATGTGAGGTAGTCACCTAGTAATTTAGAGTTGGGATTTCATCATTTTTCCGGTAATCCGCATCGGCTATGTCCTCGAACCTCACTGCTTTTATCCCTGTGTCAGGGCTAATCTAAGACTACCCCCCCCCCCACAAGTTTGTATTGGTCAGGGATTACCAGTATGGGAACCCGCTACAAACACACCATCAAAGAGAAAGATAAAATCATACCAAGCGGGACATCAATGCAACCAAGAGTCTTTCACCGCTTGATTTCTGGACTGGAATAGTACTTCAAAATGTAGGGCTCGTTCTCCGGATTGCAGTAAGTGACTATCTATAGTATTCAGCACATACTAAGCAGCATCAATTAATCAAGAAGAGCAGATTTTTGCACTTGAATTAGCTTGCTCCCCTCCCCAATAGTTGGGAAGGCGAATGATCCCACAAAAATAATCCACAGTCTACAGCTTTAGTGTAGCAAGTGCCATATTTTAGGCTCCTGTAGCTCCAGCTCTTGACATTAGCTACTACAGGCGCCCCACATATCTAGTACCAACATTACCTCTGATATCCGTCCATCTTTAATATTCACAGTCCCTTCTATACTACCCAAATAATATTAATGCTTAAAACCACTATTTTTTTCTGCTGCCATAAAGTGCGCATATAATTACTTGCCCAAAGTCTGAAGGAAAAAGCCAGCCCCCAAACCCAAATAGTACAACAAAAAGAGTAATCAAGAAAAGTACATTATCTGAGATGTTATGGAGGAGAAAAAAAAGACAGAAAGATTTGCGAACACATTAGTGAAGATAAAGTGAGGAAATAAAATAGAGATAGCGGATGTACAGAAAGCTACACGATTAGTATCCTCTCACGGAAATTACGGGAATGGTCACGGACAAGTTGTATGACTGCTTGTAAGTTGAGGCATAAGTGGGCGTGCTCTCCTGGGCGCTGATATCTATTACACGACATAGAAAGGACCGACCACCTCTTCACCTCATTCACCTTTAACACGGACATTCTTGTTTCTCGAACTCGGCCATTGCGTCGTTCAGTTCCATCAGGATCAGCTTAGCCATATTCATATACTCTGTGTTCATCCACTAAAAGTGAAGAAGGAAAATAAGATGGGGATTCACTAGATTTACAGCTGCCAAAAAATGCAAAGATTGATGATGAAAAGGTGCTTAAAAAGTTATCTAGTGTCTTGTCTTAACTTCAACTAACGTGCTCGAAAACAACAGAAACCGAATAATCCAATAACAAATTAAAACTCGGATAGAGATAAAAAGATATTGCCCTGCTAGGTTGAAAAATCGTTGCTACTCTCAATCGCATACTCAGAAATGTAAGAATAGGCAAAAAACGAGTTTGTTTGACTAATACAACAATCGCTACCAACGTGGTTAACGCATATTGACTCGATCTCAAACATAAACCCGAGAGACAGCAAAAGCTTGGCATTTAAAAATTACATAAGAACCTATATGCTTTGTTATAAAGGGTACTATAAATTCTTTGGGAAATAAACGCTCAAATTCATCCACAAAATATGTGACCAGAAATAAATGTTTTCCAGAAACCCCAAACTTGAACACACAGGTATAAAACTAAATGTGAGCTAAAGTATAAAACGAGAACTGAATAAAGTAATCCATATATAGATAAGGGGTATGCACGATAGACTTACCTCCACGTGGTGCACCCTGGGCAATGTGAACTTACACGAGAGTTGATTTCTGACTTAAAACTATCATATTTGACCACTTTCACAGTACTCATCTTACCATTTTCTCTATCTTTTATAAACGTTAATTACTCTTATGTCCCCTCTCTCGACTATTTTTTAAGACTTTGATATTCCTCCCCTCTGTGGAGCCTGAAGTCAACTAAAGGACTAATGATAACTGTTATAAAGCCTGTCAGTTGACATAAACATATAGAAAAGGCAATTGTATGTAATCAGTGGAGTAAGTCAAATTGAGTGGCGTGCAAAACAAACCTTATCAGGATGAACAGCCCTGGCAGCTTTCCGGTATTGCTGCTTCACCTGTTTGACAGTCATCACATCGGCCATAGAGATTTGCTCCCACCGAACGCCTTCCCACAACACTGCGCCCAGAGTACACAACAAAGCTCGGACATTCTTCTCCTTTCCGTCCAACCACTCTATCACCTGAAAGGGTATGAGGAGGAGACAGAGAGGGAGAGAGCAACAGTTAATATCTCATTGGTCATTTCCCTTAACAGATATAATAATCGCATGCATTTTTAAATGAATTTCATGCATTATATTAAAGGGGGGGGGGGCGCGGGGGTGAACAGCTATAAAGTTACAATTTAGGAGAAAGGCTTAATCCACAGAGTACGGTACTATAATTGACTAACAAGTTAACAAGAATGTATGCTGTCAATTATTGTTGCGTTCCGAAAATTTGCTTTGAAGGTGATTAGAGTAAGATTTTAATGCCAAAATCGTGGACGACATTCGCTTTCGAAATTGGACACCCAAGGCCATTGTTAACAGATAATTCATGGGTATCAGTGATCCGATCCATAGCACAGAGATATGCTTCTAGTATTAACCTCCAACAGTACTTAGGGGAGCAGTAAGTCAACTATTAACAAGCCTTAAATCACCTTAAGTGTTTCAGGATCTTCAGTCTGAGCTAGCTTTTGATGCCGAATCTCAGCCAGTGTTTTAGGCTGTTGGTTCTTCCGAGAACTGCCAAAAGCCGCACCAGATGAATTAAAACCTCCCAGGAGATCTTCAAACGCATTTTCAGTGACTCGAGGACGGGCACCAGAAAAGCCACTTCCAGATGTAGTATTGGTCTGGGGAGGAGGATTGTGTTTTGGGGAGGTGAACGGGGCTGTGCCGGCTGGTTTAGTGGGAGGTGGAGTACTACCAGTAGGAGGAGTAAAGGGAGATTGACGAGCAGAGGAGGTGGAGTTAGTGAATGGGAAACCAAAGGGAGTTGGACCTGAAAAGAAAGAGAGGAATATTACTTATATGGAATTAAGTAGGATCACATGGGTTGTCGATCATGTAACAGTCTGATTCAACTTAAGTGAACTCCATTAAGTTCCGATAAGTTAAAATCATATCAACTGGTATTATAATGAAGAAGGATGACTGACCATTCAAAGTAATCGATTGAACGATAAACCCTGGCAATAGCTTACTCAGTACTACGGGGACGAATAATAGGATTTGACTTTGAGAACTGTAAGCAGTAAACTAACAATTCATTAAATAGCATAATTTCAAAATACAAATAAAGCAACTCTCCCGGTAAATCATTCCGAACGTACACTCACCCCCCTTTCCCTTTACCGTTTACTGGATCACTTTGCTGTTATCGAATTCAGCTCTTATAATACAAAATTGCAAAGCACTGTACCCTAGAGAGGAAAACAATTTGAGCGATGAATAATGGAAATAACGATTTCCTATCAAAGGGCTCATTAGATGCTACGTCTATGCCTTTTGCTCTCTCTCTTTGATCCACTTACTTACATCCTCATTAATTTGACCTTAACAGAAAAATCTGATATAAGGAAAATGTTGCAATAAAGAAAACGAATATTCGACTAGGTTTGATTCAGGATTGCCTATACAAACTATAAAGAAATGGGAAGTGCTATCTGCTTATCTGAAATGGTATGCAATTAGAAACGTACTTTTCAATGTGAGAGAAAATAATATGAACAAGGCGATAATTGAGGACTTTAATATAATGATTTAATGAAGACGGAATCCCTAAGTATCCCAAATTACAAGGAAACTAAGGCATCATCATCAATTAATAATTACATCAGAGAAAAAAACTCAAGAACCCAGACAATATCATACTTTCAATGAATAAGCACTTAGATATGAATGAGTAAGGCTAAAGCATATCTCACTGGGCAGCCTAGATAATACAATAACCGACTTTCTAAAACTCAAAATTTAGAGAAAGAAAACTGATTTAAAACTATTAAAAACAAACATTATATGATCAATTTGAAAGAAAACGAAATATTACATTCAGGAGAAGAGAAGGAAAGAGGATTATAAAGAAGTCATTGGAATTTAGAAGACTGAAGTGAGGACATGATTAATTAGCCTTGATAAGAAGATGAACCTATTCAATGGAAACAAAACTTAACAAGAGGCCATTGCCAAACTGATAGAAGACGCCGATTTTGGTATAAGTTCAACGCCTAAAGCAAGCTTTAAATAAGCAGTTAAATCAAATTAAATTAATCAGGTCCCTTACCAGGTTTGCTATTATTAGCAGAAGTGGAAGGAAAGTTCTTGTCTTGATGACTAGGGCTTTGTGAGTGGGAATTGGCTTTCGGAGCCTCAAAGAACTCTCCGAATTCCTCAAAAGGATTTCCTCCAACACCACCATTACCATTACCCCTTGTGAGATTCGAGGAGGAGGAAGAAATGTGGACATTCGGTGGTTTTGGTGACGTAGCAGCGACTGTTGAGGGCGTAAATAGATTCGATGTACTACTACTAGTATGCATGAATTTCCGTGTTCCAAATGGATCAAAATCAGAGGGGGATTTTGGGGTTGGGGGAGAGTGAGACCTCTGGAAATCTTCTGGTGGTTCTGTGGCAGTGCCAAAAGGGTCGAAGGGATTCAGATTGACAGCTGTTTCACTACCCCATGGATCTTGCCAGTCATCTGTGGCAGGCTTAGCTGAGGGAGTGTGAATAGAGGAAAATAGGTCATCAAAGAGGAGATTGGAAGAAATTGGGGAGGGGGGCTGATGATTGATTGATGGGGTTTTCGAAGGTGAAGAGGATATGTTCAGTAGATCATTGACGACAGGGGTGTCCACAGAAGCCTATAAGAGGAAATAGTCAAGGCATAAAATAGTTTAACCAAGGACTGAACCAAGATCGACTAAGCTGTAACAGGATTTCACTTTCAGAGCCCAGGGATTCGAGTTCTTACTCAATTTTTCCCATACAGAAGAGCCTAAGATCTGGGCACGGGTATTGAGGCAAATGGGAAAAGAATTAAAAAATAACCGAGATCTACGAAAGACAAAAGTATAAAATAATTCAAGGTCGAGAAGAGTATAAAAGACTTAAACACAACTCGATACTGATCATAACTATGAACACTGATAAATAAAATATGACTCTATTTTTGAGTCAAGGGTTAAAATATTGAAGAAAAAACAGAAGTTGGTCAACTGCATAACCTCCTTCCATTTACAAAAGACGCATTTATTATCAAGATTGGTTCAACTGCTACCCTAAACACGCAGATTTTAGGACTATTACTGACTCGGTGTTAAAATTAATATGTAATTGCAAATGTCATATTGACACTTGTTCATTTTGCATTAGATAAATGAGGGAAAGTGCAGAGCGATAAATGATAGGAATAGTAATTTTTCAGGAAGAGTTTGGAATGAATAATTGCGATGAATATTGGCTGCCAAATATAAGAGTATTTTAAAGGTTCGGAAATAAAACTAAAATATTAATGACTTTAGGAATAGCTAATGGGAAAAGATAAGCAAACACCAAAAAGTATGAAACGAGAAACATATGCTGGGTAGGCTCACAAAGTCCGGTATCATTATATAACAGAAATGTGTCAATGAGAGTAAAGTTAATTTTAAATAATGCAAAGGTTATAGGAACATTGCATAAAGTATACACTCACCTCATCGCCCGATTTCGGTTGACTCTCCTCTGCGACTGGTTCCTTTTCAACTTTTGGAGCGGGTTCATTAATATCGTCAAGGTGAGCGGATCCTAGGCCTTCTATCAGGGTGTCAACAGTTTGAGGAGCAGCAATTTTCGACGAAACAGGTCGAGGAGGTGGTTTATCAACCTGTTTAGCGCCTTCCTCACCATTTCGACTTACTTGAGGCGATGATTTTGATTGTGCTGATAATGGTTGACCAGTGGAAGAATAGCCTAAAGGGCAGCATAAAGTGACCGAACGATGCATAAAAGAGAAGAACTACTTGGAGAAGTTAAACACAAAGCCAGATTACATACCGTGTGCCTTTAGTGCATCAGGAGGCATGATTGATCTCATCTCATAAGGGTCAGTGAAACAGAGAATGGGTTTCCGAGCAGATTCAGGGGGAAGTGTTTCCCAGGGGAATACAAGAGTTGAGCCCTGACGTGGACGTTCTGTTGGACTGACAGCAAGATGAAGAACAGTATGAAAGCTCTCTGCATACCGACTTGTTACTGAACCACCACCACTGGGAATACTCGCATTATGAGTGCCACTTGTATGTAGCGAGTAGAGATGATCCAATTCCGACCTTAATAGAGAAATCAAGATTAAACAGTGGCAAACTAATTACTTGATGGAATGTTTTATGCTAATTATAAAAAAATTGATACTCACTTAAGGAATGTGACCTTTGTGACACTAGGGTCAATGAAACCGGTGTGAAATTGAAGCTGGCAAATTTTCACTGCTGATGCCTAAAACAGCGTAAAGTGCATCTTATTTTCATAAGAAGCAATGACCGGCATGCATTAGACGTGACTTACTTTCCCCTTGCCAGCGAAGAATGACCGAGCATGGTAGACGCTGATGGTCACATCACCGTAAACCATGAGGTTGTTTAGAAAGACTTCAATTTTTCGGTCCTCGAATTCATAGGTCCTGAGAAGGATAATAAAAAGATAGGAACTGCTTTACTACCTCGATGAACACATTAGTCTGTAGGGAAGTTAGAAGACTAGAAAAGAACTTAAGCCAATGAGCAAAGAGACTTGCAAATACTTCCAAAGTGACTTATTTCCTTTGTGATCATGCCACCTGCATGCATAACGAACTTATTTGTCAAGGATTTGATTAAACTAGTATGGATAGGGGGTACAGGTCTGAATGGTGGTGGAATTTTGAACTAAAAGTCAATCTTTGAAGTGCGTTCTGATATGATGTAATTCAGTGGTTAATAATTCAATTCTGGACCACATCGAAAATGAAAGACATTTGAAATATTTGGGTACTTTAAATTGAAATTTGATGGTCGAAAAGAGTGCTTTAAATAGATGCATCAATGCAAGAAAAGTTTAGCAGAGAATCAAGAAATTGAATAACCTACCGTAGAGATTCATAATCCGTCATTGATGTGAAAACTTTCTTATCACCTTGAGAGACTTCAACATAGGGTCGACAACCGTTCCTGAAAATTAAACGAAGAAAAAATAAATAAGAATTTAAGTAGAAAGCTTAATAGCTTATCAAACTCCAAAAGATGCGAGGCCAATTAGTAATCAAGCATTTGCCCAATTTCTCTTAAGGATGTGAGTTCATTTTGGAATATCAAAATGTCTAAAATCTCAAGTTTCAAGATTTAATTCCTAAGCTTTTGGGTGAGTCTGCGTAGGCAACATTTGAGGCTTATTGACTAGTTGGATCGTTGGTCATGTAGGTGAGAATACTCTCGTCGAAAATTGAACTAATTATCCATTCTACCTGCCAAAAGGTAAACGAGCGGCAAATAAATAAGGGCATCGAGAGGAGGGGCTAAAATTCATGTCAACACATTGTCCTATATTCGGGATATAGAACATCGGTTACTGATTAATGTCCACAAATAGAATGAATCAAACACATGCAGACATTGTGAGCTGCAGAGATAAATGCACGACAGCGTTAAAGGAACATTTCAAGATCAGAAATACCCCTTATTCTAAAACATTTATATGACCCGCTCAAAGTGGAGGGAAAGCGTAAATGTTATAAAACGCGAAAAAGAGCCGGACTATATAGTCCAAAATTTGGGGACTCACTTGAGTCGATTGAAGGAGGGAATGGGTGCTATCAATATACTCAACAGTTTGACAGGTTTGTTATGAGGAATATGAGGAGGTACAGCCACTAGTTTTGCCACATAGTCAATGTACCTAAAGAAGATGGAAAAACACTCATTTGATATTATCTTCCTCGAATTCGCAAATACAACTTCAATAGAACTAAAAACTCACCTCAACTGCGCAGGAGTAAGTCTCGAAGAACTCCTTTTAGAATTGAAGAACCTTGCAGCCGAACTAGCATCAGAAAAAGCTCCACAAAAACAGAGGAGGCTGCAAACAAACACAGCAGAAAGCTGTCTACCATCTCCACAGTGGATAACACATATATTATCGGGCTTTTGAGACAGCCAGAGACGGGCATTTTGACACAACTCAATGAGAGAGGCCAGAGAAGGGGCCCGATTGAGCTCAAAGCGTCGGAAGGAGACCCGACCACCAAACCAGCAAGTTGACCGATAGGGTCGTGAGCTGAGGTTGTAGACAGCATAGCTGTTTGGATGGTGGCGATCAAGATAGGCTTGAGCTTCTTCCATTGAGTTGCGGGAGCCGACTACGGCTTCTAATCCACTTTCAGCTGGGTAGGACATAACTATAAGGGAGACAAATATTGCATTCTAGGGCACAAATATATGCATGCGACTGAAAATCAGAAAGTGCCTAACGCCTACCTGCAATGCGTGTGGTGATATACTGCAGATCCAAATCACTGGGCATTGCGCTGAAATGTAACACCATGATAATTAGGGTACTACATATACTCGGAAGAGCAAACAACCGAGCTTATAAAGATAATGAATAAATTGAAAATCCAGATCTGGAATGTTGGAAACGGACACTTAAAAACCGATACCATCAAAAAGACTGAAGTCAACGTCAGAGAAACAAATACTACAAGGACAGCCTTACTCTCGTTAATTGTAATTCCCATTCCTGGTCCTGCAACACTTTTCAGATTCCCAGTTGTTTAATTTGCTCCATGATTCTCACCAACTATAAGACTTATGCTATAGGAGAGACTGTCATCCTTTATTCATGCATGGTTTTGGATTAAGTTATCACAGATCAACAGAATTGCATTAAGCAAAATGTTTTAAAAGGTATACTTAATTGACATGCATATACTCTAGACTATTAAAACTGCTAAAGGGTCTTGAAGTAAGCACAAGGTTAGTTGTTTTGTGTCCAAGATATTCCAGTTACCTAACTCTCGCACACAGAGTATCCCCTCTGTAATCTTGTCAATTTTTCCCACTTAACAACCATTTCACCAACGGCTTTGTCATCTTCTTAGGCTGAGCCGTACATACTTCGAAGAGTACTAGCTTGGTTAGAAAATCTGAAAGTGAAGCCTATTTTCCATGAATCTCGAATGAAGTCTTATAATGGTTCCCCACTAGTGTATCACAAACAGAAGTATCTAACCCCCAAATATTTGAGGTATGGAGTACGTATAAATATAACGTCGGGATGATTTCAACGTGGTAATTCAGTTACTTAGCTAGAAGAATTAATACAAGGATAATCTTCTTAAGGCAGTCTAAAAGAAACAAAAAAACATTTGCCAAGGAAATTCGTTTTATTTGTTCTTTTCTTTAACAAAACTTGGGAATGTAATTCCCTATAATTAAACGAACTAAGAAGGAAAATGGTGTTCAACTTACGCAGTGACAGCCTCCATCACCTTAGACGATGTCTCTTTGATATTTTTAATCAAGTGCCCTGCGCTGCCCTTGAGAAATCCCAAAACCCCACCACCACCACCGCCTCCAAGTGAATGGCGCTCGGGAGTATCAAGAGATGAATCCGTAGAGGACACTGACCCATTGGTTGATGAGGGGAGGTAAGAGCGTGTCCGACTACTGCCGGCACCAGGACCCACTGAGGGTCGACTTGGAGGGACAGTGGGTGTGTGATTTGGCGGAGGTCGTGAGAGTGGCGTGGAAGTTTCAAAAGGAGAGGGCGGTTGAGCTGGCGGTTGACCATCTAAAAGAGACACAACAAACAAGAGTTAGATAGTAATGCATCTATAATCTTCAGTTTTCAATTCAAGTAAGCGCACATAAACCATACGGAATTTCGATACTTATTGACGTATTTGGAAGAAACGGTTTCTAAACCTGATATACACACACAGTTGAAGTTGAAGAATAAATCGTGTTCTATTAATTTAATTTCCCAGTGTAACCCAGATTTAATGGCCATTCCTTTATAGGCTATTTTAAACTCACCCTCGCCTGGTGCAACAACTTACTTTGTTCATCTTATAAAAAAACGTTTTCTGCAAATGAAAATGGTTTAAGTCCTTGAAACCGAGCCTCGATCATGGACGTAGAAATTATGTTCCTTAGGCAACGGCCAATGGAGGCACTAATGAATAATATCTCTTGGAACCAAAACACCCACTCAAAATCACAAGGATAGAAATAATTTAGAGTGATTAATAAAAGGTGTTTCGATTTAATTACAAATTAATACTCAGAAGCATATAATTTTTAGGTAGCAATCAGAGGTCGAAAACAATTTATTATAGAAAATAACATCCAGATTTAGGAGCAAACGAATCAATGAAATTAACTGAAAACCAATAGCATTCTTCTCGTGATCATATTTACGAAAATGGAAAGTTATCCATTATAACAAACAAAAACGATTTTACATAGTGGAAGTCATATTTCATGTTTCTCCTTTAATGTAACAAGATAGCCAGTTGCGGGATAGCGGTGTCACTCATGAGTTGGATATTCAATACAACCCGCAATGAGGCCGATCACTTTATAATTTTGAGACCAAAGAGGGAAAAAAATTTACTCATTAAATTGGGAAATATGGAGCAAAATAATGAGTCAATAAAGACCTCATTAAAATAATGGTATCACCGAAGAAGGCATCTAAAGTCAGGCTTAAAGGGAACATCAATGATTATGAAAAGGCACCAAATGAAAAAAAATTAAATAAAGATCAAATGTTAAAGCATTTATAACGAACTATGCAGGTGGACGAAATGAGACTGACAGTCACTACAGCTCCTTAACTTCCAATCCAAGGCGCGAGAAAAAGAAACCAAAAAACCCAAAACACTCGTGGAGAGAAAATAAAATTGTCCTTTCGAGAAACCCAAAGGCAACTAATCGTGCATCTTCAAACATTATCGCAATAAACGTAATGGTATATGTAGGCACAGAGCTAAAGCGAATGAAAGTTTAGTCAGATTCTGATTCCCTCTGTCAATAAGAGGAATGCGACCGATTTCATCGTTAGGTCCTTCGAAAGGAAATAACGTGCGAAAAATTGAAGTAGTCAGTCATGAGAGAAGTAACAGTAGTAATGAAAGAGTCAAAAGTTAAGTGGATTAAATCCAAATCCTCAATTCAAACAAGAGGAATATAATCCGATGAGACAACGACAATAATAGCTTCAGACGAGAGAAAGGAGGTATTTAGACCTCGAGTGGCTTCACACGGATCAATTAGCCGAAACAAAAACTGTGATTACCGGTTCGAATATCTAGATGAAATCAAGCCTAATCCAGGCATTGGGTTAACTTGAAAAGTATTAAAGCATCGTACTCAGTTTCGATGAAGCAAGTTAAACCATTTACTCGAAAAAATTTCGCTTTATCAAACGCTATGCAATTCAGGTTGCAAATTCAATGGAAACAAGTTTTAAATTTTGGCAATGAGACCACGATGGATTTCAAACAATGCACTAATACTCGGATCAATACGTTTTTGAGGCTATTTTGCTCGAGTTGTAAGCCAATAACAACAAAAATTTCAATTTTAACAAGAACGTTGGCATGAAACACCCGAATGACGTTAGTTGACTAATCGATTATTGTTCTGTGAAATGGCATGAGTATCACCACCAAATCATTGAAACTTACCTCCGCTGAAGTAACTTTTCCACCATAAAGTGAGAATAATGAAGGAAGCTAGTTCACGGGAATTCACCACTAAACCCGTGTAACTTACCAAATATCTCAAGCATCAAACAAAATTCAGGTTGGTAAGAAATAGTTACTTTTCGAAATCCATTCCATCCAGCAAACATAAATAATTTTGTATGTGCTATCCATGTAACATCTTTGATACGAACTTTAATATAGCCAATTCGATGTCGAAAGAAAGATGCAGGAAGACAGTGGAAATCAGTATTTATGAAGTTGGAACTCGAAACTTAGTACGTCTACGAAAGCAAGATGTTAATTACCGTTAAGAAATAATAATAATTTTTACAATTATTTTTTTTGTGAAAATCAAAAACCACAAAAACTTATTCAATCAGATAAGGTAAATGTTCCTTTTCTATTCTCAACTGAAAGTCTTAATTCTGACGTGAATAAAGGTTGTACTTAAAGGTCATTTGAATAGATTAAATAAAAATGCTAAAATTTTAAATAATCAATATAGGGAATCTAGAAAGCTCTTGTTCTCCTAAGGGTGCGCGATAGATATACCCCCACGTGGTACAGCCTGACCAACGTATACTCTTACGGCAAACATGTTCATAAACCGGCAGTTGATTTCTGACCTCAAACTACTATGACCCGACTCTATTTCATATTCGTCAACTTCCACAGTACTTAACTCATCTTCTTCTCTACCTTTGTATCTGTCACTTTTACGTCTGTAAATCACACTTCTGTTCCTCCCTCTCGACTTATTGTGACTTTGATGTTCCTCCCCTCTGTGAAGCCAAAATCAAACAAAGGACTAATGATAACTATCATTAGTTATCAAACTGACATTTGATATAAAAATATAGGGATTCTTTGAAAATCAAACTGAGTTACAGCAATCATGTTGGAAGTAGGCTTGTAATCAAACTAGACTCTACGCCGTTTAACATGGGAAAAGTGTGAACCAATGGGGAAGCTTAAATTGGAAGGTCAGTATGGTCATTGGCTAGATCGGACATTTGCTCAGTTTCATGTCGCTAGGTCGGCATAAAGGATTGTACTCCCCCTCTTGCCCCTTCTATCTTTATCTTACTTATTTACATAATTTGCCTTAAAAACGTTTTAACAACTACATAGGAAAATTCAAGATTGACTACGTTTTCCACAATGAACTGTTCTAGTCAAAGAAAGGCGAATCAAAATTTAAACTAACCGGTATTAAGGGATTTTCATAGTCAAGGCCCAGTCTCTAGGTTAAAAGATCAAACAGATTTACCTCTAGCAATAATACATCACGAATATGCAGATAGCTATCAGATCGCCAGTCATCTAAGTTGAATGATTTTCAAGTAACGTTTAAAGCGTTCTACTGACGCAAGTGACTTCAAGTACGTAATAGTTGGTTCACACAATTTTCTCACTTTAACCATAATTACCACTTAGTTCCAAGGAGTATCAATTTACACTGGTTATTTCTAGCATACTGCATTATCGGTATTTGGAAAATGCTTTCGTAACAAAATGCAAAGAAATCATTGCACTAACAGTCTTCCTATTATTGGATTCAATCAGTTATCCTAGGAAGAACTCAAAAATAGCGCAGAGGTGATCACGGTCATAGAAATTTTATAGTAAAAAGATACTATACACGCCTAATAGCTGGGTTTCACATTTCTCTTCAAAAATAGAATCAAAGGGCGCCTCTAAGTGGCAAAAATTTCGATACGAAATGGGAACAAGGGACTCGCATTTGATGGAACTGCGGATGTGCTTAAATCACACACTCATGAATAAAGTGTGACCAGAGTGAACAGTTGGAGACAGTAAAGCGGTGTAGGAGACTAATATAATAGGGGCGGGGTGGATGGAAATGAATATGAAAGGAAGTAGGTGCACTCATGGTTAAACAACTGGACAACATATTGTAGATTATACTAAATATTCTGCAATTTAGATAATAGATGGGCTCATAAAATGATACAATTCCGAGAAAACGAATTCTCCTATTTCCAAAGGAATTCGAGTACGTGAAGTACTCGATTGAGGGAACAAGTATGAAAACAAACATTCGTCCTTAAACCAAATATAGAATAATGTAAATTTTCAGAAACAATCTTCTAAACGAACTCATAAGGATTTTAAATACCTCCAAACGCAAAAATTGCTACTTAACAACAAGGTGACCTTTTACTTCGCCAAACCAATCTCCCCATTCGATATCATATTTACAGCTGTATCTCCTTGTCCAACTCGTGCATTTTATTCAAGCAAATATGAGATAATCGAAGACAATAAACGTGGCTCTAAAAACCCACTAGGAAAAATGATACATGAACCAGCTACTTTGAACTGAGGATAGGCATTCCTCAGACTCTATGATTGATGTCGTGCTATCTTGAAGTGCACCAAAACGTGATTAAAAAGCAGAAAACCCACTAGACAAATAACGCAAAATGAAAAAAAATAAATCAAAAAACCTTCAGAATATGATCGTATGATCCTATCTTTGACACCAACTTTATCCGATCACATGTACAAATATAGATGGTAGGTAGGTAAATATGTTGTCAGTCATCGATAGACAACCAACCACGAGAATAATACTGCTTTAAATACAGTTAAGTTGAAAGCTTTAAATGTACTGAAAACACAAAAAATGAAAGTTTCAAGGAAATAACGAATAGAATATTTAATAGGACTTACCACTTGACCGATTACGCAATCGTCGCCTAACATCCTCATTGAAGATAATGGAATCGAATGCGGGAACATTGCGAGTGGTAGCTAAATCCGATAATTCTCCATAAACGGAGTTTATATTCGGCCTTTGAGTGGGATCAACCAGTAGCATTTGACCTATTGGTGTAAAATGAGAAAATATGAATGCCTTGCTTAATTTTTGTGGCGTAGCAGTCGATATCAACAAACCTTAAATCAGAAGTCATAAGTTTAATACCTATCAATGTATCTTTACCGAAGATACTGATTAATCGTGCTGGCGGGTTCCAATTAAAAGGATGGTAGAAAGCAAGGTTCTCCTCTGCTTAAAATTAGTTTTTAATTAGCTACCGCGACTTAATTACCAATATTAATCCCAGTTTGACAACAAGCCTGTCGTCATTGGAAATCTTTGGTAAGCCGGTGAGCGGGACAATGTAGTACTATCACTAAGGAAAGTGCTCACCTAGGATGAGCATATAGAAAAAAAGAGACACTGAGTTGCAATAGACCTCTTGTGATTAAACAAACAAATAAAGTAAATCACACTGTTCATAGAATGTGAGCGAATGAGTATTAAATTCAATGCTTCTAATTCGCAGATATGGGCGTTGTTAATCACCGACGCGCATTGTAATCGAGCAGGCTCTTAAACAGCTGCATATCCTGTGAATTAGAATTCCGAAACGTTTCTCATCATCAAAATAAATTTAATAATATCGATTAGTGAAAAAATAAACTCAGCACAAATGTGTAATCAATACCATAAGATATAGTAAACACTGAATATTAATTAAAATAGGGGAGGGGGGGTAACCACATTGTAGTTCTAACAGACAGGACACAACACGAATACACTAATTAGGGTAGCCGAATAAAGAGTAATGCTGAATTTTATGAGGGATTTTAGAAAGCCCAGATAAGTAAACAAGAAATTCTGTGAAGGAGCTACCTGAATTAAGTCAGGCAAAGGAACGGAATAAAGCAATGCTAGGATATCGTCTCTTGATGACCAATTACGTCTTCCTCCATAAACATGAACAGTTAATTACAGGTGTACTTTCTAAATATAGAAGTTTCCCAATTAGATTATTTACCATCAATATCTATTTGCTTGTTTTTCTCAGGAGGATTTATCAACTTATAATTAGTTTCAAAAGATCAAATATTTGATAGTGGATAAGGCCTCTGTAGAACAAAAGTGTAAAATCGTTGGTAAAATTAATTCCGAAATAAAGGAGTAAGAAGCGAGATTTCATGCCTACTTTGTTCGATTGTAGCAGAAACAGACATCTGAGAAACACAATTTACTCGTAGGTACATCCGTGCCACATCAATTTTACTTATTATGAAAGAATGCTTATGGTAATAGTGATCGATTAACCAAGCAAACCAAGCATATTTATATATCTATTGGTGGTTATATAAAAAAACAGAACATTAACCAAGGACAGAACAACAGAACTAGTTACCGTTAAGCAACATGAAATTCGCAGAATGTGAATGTTCTAATTATGTAGTTGGGGGTCACAGGTAAGAAATCTCCGGAAAAGCGCATTAAATCATCCATCTTCCTAATTTCTATTTCATCACGAGGAAAAATGCAAATCTTCGTATATGAGTAGAACAATAAAAGTGATCACATCATTTATAGGAGGAACAAGCCAATGAAAAAAATGATGCTAATAATGAAAAAGGAACTAGAATAAATCGGTAAAAAGGTTCAATGGGTTAGGAAATCTCGAAAATAGAGGGCTAGTATTTATGGCCATATAATTAAAAAAATACATTAATAAAATAAGTCAACTTACGGATGAGATTGTGAAAAGGTTCAAAGTCACTATCGGAGGGTGGAAGGTTGTAATTTGCATTGAGAATGGCCAATTTGGCCGAATCTTCAAAGGGATGAAAGCCACAAACTAGATAGAACATAATGCATCCAAAGGCCTAAAAACGAGAGCATGAAAGAGAGAATGGACAGAAAATACAACGGTTGAGATGATATGTAATCTACTCACCCAAATATCTAGAGCCTCATTGATGGGATAATTGAGATATAAATCCAACATTTCAGGAGATCTGTACATAGGAGTCGTAACTTTTTCCAACTGGATAAGAAAAGCATCGTTGATTAGTCAAAAATCGATTATACTTACACTTTCCTGAACTCTGCCACGTTCAACGGCGGACCAGGATATATTTGGAATAAACGTTTCCGTAGTGGCACTACCAAAATCACACAATTTGATAGTAAATGACTCAGAAAGAAGAATATTTTCAATCTTTAAATCACGATGAATAATTGGGGGTGATTGTTTGTGCATGTGTTGAATGGCTCGACTGGTTTGAGAAAGAATCTGAAGTACAATGTCTGCTGGAAGGTGTTTACCCTGATGTGGAACAGGCAGATAATCTTTAAGTTGACCTCCTGTAATTTAGCAATGAATCAGAAAGACAAGAATAAATGTACCTGAACACAATTCAGTGACAATGAGGAATTCATTCCCAGCATGCTTGCCTCTCTCTTTACCAGCACGAGCGCAACCATAAAATGCCATTATATTTTGATGCCCGGAAAGCCGTTTCTATATGAAGCAAATAAAATGTCAAGTGAAATATCCTACCAGGATACTAATTTCATTCATAACAACATTTACTTCATCTTGATCCGGAGCAAAAAGTCGCTATTAAAAATAAGAATACTAAGCAAAAGATACTACCTTTATGGCGAAAGATCGTCCCAAGGAACTATCATATCCTTCGAATACCACACCATAACCACCTTAAAATGATATAGCATAAAATTTGCCTACCATCGGCAATTACTCGACGAATACGAAAGTGAGCCTTCCCAACTTCCACAGACTCTCCCACTAACTCATGTTCTTTAACCCCTTGATTTGGTCCTCCAAAATAGCCGAAGGCCGACTTTATAAAATCTCCCATTTGTGGTATTTTCGAAGTGAGCGCAAGCTGCTGGGCTTAGCTTAAGCCACTAGTTACGCAGATTACAGTTGTTATCAAATTCCAATTAAATCTAAATACAACTCGAGCATTAAAAACTTATATTAATATGATAGGGAATTTTGATCAAATATTTATATTTTATTGATATATATTATCATTATGTTATGTATGTATTTATATTATGTATTATTTCAAAGGTAAAATAGCTCTTATTCCAAAAAAGAATCGATTCATAGCTAATTATTTAATTTTAATGTTTTCAATCTTTAAATCTTTAGCATCTGCATATTGTTTCTCAACTTATAGCAATTTTGCACACTTGAAACATGGTACACTTCTTAATGCTAAAAGTTAATATCAACAATACTGCTCTGTATTTGATAAATGCCAGTTTCTTCGCAGGTCCTTAGTTTTATGGGCATCATTGGATTGCTTTAGTTATTGGCTAATTTAACAGTATTGTTGCCACCAACGGCTAGTCTAACAAAATTCACAACGTTTGTGAGTTCTCCAATAAGTCCCTCAATTTCCATCGACCATGCAATTATGAGCTTAATTGCTCGTCACAATTTAGCTGTAATCGTGATGAATAATTAGCATATTCATAGGGCATAAATGTTTCTAGACATTAACCCTAATAGGTTAAAGCTATTTATAGGGAACCAGCTTTCGGTTACATTTTGGAGTGAATAACTTAAACACCTCTTTCGTACATGGGAATAGGTTTAAGTATTCTTAATTAACGTTTAGTGACCGAGACGAGGATTAAAGTTGCAGTTATAACCCAATAAATATCTTTATATATTGTGTTAGTTTTACGAATGTCAAATTTCATCGAAAGTCATACGAATCCGGAGCTAACAAATTTTGTTGAAGATTTATTCCCCCGATGTGAAAAGTTAGAAGTTTTCAAGAGCTTATCTGCATTGTTGAATAATTACCTTTAAAAATTATAAAATTATAAAATTTTACAATTGCATAACTTTTGGACCTTAATTATTCTGGCTGAGCCCATGCCATTACTATAATGCCAACACAAAAAAACCTCGAAAGTTGACAACGATGGCAAAAAGCATTCATTCATTTTGACGTAGCTAGTATTCGAATTTTTCAGTAAAATGTGGTCCAGTAAAGCTATCGCCATGGAGGAATACTTATCTGTTAATGATTAGTGGCGTTTTAACAGACGACGAAATGGTTCCAAGAAAGTTGGGTGCCTCGAACAACTTTTTTCTATCTTCTTCGTCATATTCCGAAAAATTAATCCTTTCCCATGCATTACTTAAGACTTTTTGAGTGAAAGTCTCAGTCATGAAGACATGTCAATTACTTGGATCAAGTTAAGACGTAAATGCAGCTTATGCCAAAGTAATTTCATTTATTTAAATTGCATTTAGTGTAAACAGTGAAAAAAGGCAAGCAATAGTTATGTTAATGAGAGTAATTTGTTATATCCACTTTGTAATAAAATGCCGGTCTTTAGTGATCATCTCAAGAAGTAGAAAAGTTGAGCATTTGAAACGGTGAAATTGTGAGCTGCTTAGTTACTTCTTAAGAAGATTGTAAATTTATTTATGTCAAATGGCAGGTTTTATGATAGTTATCATTAGTTCTTCGCAGATGGGAGGAATAACAAAGTCACAATAAGTGGGGGGGGGGAGAGGGGGGTAAAGGAAGAGTGATTCACAGATCTAAAAGAGACAGGCACAAAGGTACAGAAGAAGATGAGATGAGTATTAAGGAAGTGGTCGAATATGACCTACAGTGGGATCATGGTACTTCGGAGTCAGAAGGTTACGAGTGCAGTGACCCCTCAGTCAATCAACAATTAATTGTCATACTGCCCGTGTACTCACAATGGTATTTAATGACTGTACTCTATGCCAGTACCTCAGACCTATGCGCATGGGTCACCCATCATAAACAAAGTAATTACGACCTCAATAAACGCATTTTAAGTCGTACCTTCCGTTTGCTCCGCATTTTTCAGGTAGGTAGTTAATTTTGTGAGTCATTATATAGGTGGTGATTTTCCTATAGAGATGGCTGAGGTTTCGTCAAGGCTTATTCACGTATAAATGAGCTACAAATGCTCTTGATTTCAAATTCCAATATGATTTTTCTTTCAATAATTTACTGAGAGTATATTTAGTAAATAATTCTTTGTTTACGCAAACTTAACCCACTTCAGGAAAAATAGTAAAAATACTCCATTTGAGTAAATAAATAAATCCTGAAATTTCTGCTACAATAAACTGAAAATACACTATTTAACTCGTGCTAGATAGCCACATTGGCCCTGTGATTTTCCCATGAATATGGATTTCATTATTAACAACTTATATTAACGGGATTGGAAGGTATGTTAGAGTTAGAGTAGGTCTGCATCTTTAATCCATTTCGGTCTAAATAAACATAAAATCTAGAAATTTCAAGCTCTTTTGGGTTCTGAACGTCCGATAAGAATTCTTAATAACGTTGGAGTTTCCTCTTCCTACAGAGCCAAAAATCTGCGATTGATTTCATTCTTTAAAAACCAATTTCCTATTTACTGAATTACGCTTCTTACTACTTTGGATTCCAAGTCATGCCGTGACGACCGTTCTAAGTTAGAGGGGTGAGAGTTGGAAAAGACTCCGATCTTCAAGGGGAAACTTCAGTTACTTTTCTCTTTCTTCAAACTACTCATTCATCTCATTCGGTAACCTCACAAACTTCCCTAATTAAGTTAAGTCTCGTCCATTGTCTTCTAACTTGCTCCCTCTCTATTTGCCTCAAACTCACTTTTGTGTTTAGGATATAGTTAGGTTAGACAATTATAGTAAAGATGACCATAAGCAACTAAAACCACTTTTAATGGCTTGTGAAATCATCTTGATTTTCCACCCACAGCCTAAAATTAATATTAATTACACATATATATTTGTTGCACATAAAAGAATGACAGTTGAAGTTTATGCTTGTCTCTTCAGCAGCACCTTAAAATATCAACTCATCACCGTCTAAAAGCACAATTTAACGAACACTAGTAGTAAAATGATTTCCTCAGAAGCCCATCCACACTTTATCCCTTGAAACATGATTGAACACAGCCATATTTACCATACTTTAATTAACTCAATTGGTTATCTGATAGAAGTCTGTACTTAACTATTGAAAGTGTGGGAATAGCTGCAACGGTCCGACGTTGAATATCAGGTATGGGGTGTCAATCTACTAGTCTTAGTAGTGTTAAATGGATGATAAAAGGGGAGAGTTCTCCCAGGGGGGGAGGAGGAGGGGGGGGGGGGTTGAGAGACTGGGTGTGATGTGTGGCTCAGAGTGGATATGTATGGGATTAACTATTTAACTTCCAGTGCATCTGATTCAATAGACTGAGAGTTCCCGTTGAGCCTTGGGAACAATTTTGGAAAATTGTATCTGATTAGATGGGCTAGTTTGATTAAGCATAACTGAGTTGCAATGAGAATAACTTTAACTGGAGAAAATTTTAATTGATTTGTGGTTTAAGGATCCAATTAAATTAATTAAAAATAGTGGATTAATTTGTATCATTTTGTACACAAGAGAGCAAATGAGACAAATTTGAGTGATTGACATATTTTTGTACTCACTGAAAGGTCTGAGAATCCATTTATTGTTTAAATCGACATATAGCAGATTTACTCGATATATTCTATAAATTAACATATAAATAAATAGACGTTCACTGTTTAACCACACAACAGAGACTTTTACCAAAAAATAAGACACATTTCGTAAAAGGAATACCTTATTCCAGGATACTGAATGATTTCTTAACCTCAAAAAGGAAGAATATTTTAGAAAGGAAAATGAGGATATTCACGAAACCACCATACATTGTTGGCGGTTGACAGATGGGTTTCGATAAGCAAAATGAGGTGGAATGAAGCTTTAGAGTTTGAAATAAAACTATGTCCTTATGGACTCAAAATAATTCGCATGGTGGAGTGATGTACATCTACTTGAATCCAACTTAACCGAGGAATAACTTTGACCACGTTTTCAAATTTCCGAGAATTTTATCTTGTTAAATTCTTGGCAATATTTCGTGCAACTAAATCTCATTTTTGGTTATAATTAAGCCCACCGTGCCATAATTAGATTTATTTCCATAATTTTCACCCTTTAAGGTGCCTTCAAAGTCTAGTAGCAGCGTCAGTCCACATTAATTCTGCTTTCAGGATTTTATTTACAGTTGGTCAGACCTCTGATAACCGGTTTTAAAGTTCTACTGAATTATAATTTCATCCTTAATTAACTGCCTATGTATACATATACACATGGCGTAAACTAAAACCATGCAGAAGGGTTATTTTCAGCCACTATTTCTGCTTCATTAGTTTGAAGAAGTTGGACAAGCCACCACCAAAGTTATTAATTAACAAACTGGATTTCCAGGTTTAGATTTCTTCTAGAAATATCTATCCTGATATGTAGCCTCTTTTTGATGAATTGCATCTATATTGATATCTATCCCCAAACCTGGCCTACATATTGATGTTTATGTCGAGAACTTATCGCCCTTAAGAAGTGTTAGACGAAGAAGGCTAAAATAATAATTTAAAACTCAAATTATAGGCGTTGAATATCGAAGAGGGAATCAAAAAAACACACTTTAAATCAAGAGATATACCTTTGGAAAGAAACGGTGTGAGTGAGGTGGATAAGTGAAACAATAAAGTTCCTTTGCGGGATTTAAGACATCAGATTCATATGTTCATTATAAAGCGACGATATAGTTTATCATCTAGCTTACAAATCAAGACATTTTATTACTAGGGTAAAGAGCTATTAAGCCACACCCTAGTATTGACGCTACTCCCACATATCAAGTTGACACGGCCTTTCCAAAGGACAGACATTCACTTTTCTATGTTCATCATTATGGGGTTTGCAATAGACTTACTTGGGCAGCGTATACTCATACGGGAAAAGTATATTAACTGGCAGTTGAC